GGACAGAAGAAGATGACCAGCAGCTTTGCAGCCTGAAAGCGGACAACCGGTCCAAGTACTCGTACAAGTCGCTGGCCAAGAAGCTCAACCGGTCCATCGCGGATGTCACGCAGCGCTGGAAGAGCCTGGAACGCCTCAGGAAAGCTCGGGAACAGAATCAGAAGACTACCTGAACGCAGCCAACGCAGCCTGCCAAGTCGTCTCCGGTGATACAGGTGCAGTTCTACTACGGATTTGGGGCATCGACTTTTTGAACTTCAGATGGGAGCAATGAGTTCCTCCGGCCACATATAAAAAAGTCCGAAAACAGCCGAGCACAGGCAGGAGTTAAAAAAGTGACCAAATCACCCATCGAGAATCATGATGGAGGCGGCTTTTCGGTTTTCGGTTTTGGTTTTCGGTTTCTGTGTTCTCCCCCTGCAGGGGGTGTGTGTGTGTGGCCCCCCTGTTCCTAAGGGGTTTCCGCGGTGTTCTCTCTCTCTTTTTGGAGTCGGATGCCACCGCAATGGACCTCTGATCGTGGAGTACTTGGTGTGGCAGATGGCATCCCTGATGAGGGCCACACGAAGGAAAGACGTAGCATGTACGTTGTGCCGAAACTCCACTTTCCGCTTTTCACCTTTCAGTTGCTTGGGGGTGCACCTTGGCAGTTTCGCCGTCTCATATCAAGTGTGTGTCCGTAGCCATTTTGGCTCAAGCATGGAAAGCCTCAAGATGGATATGACCAGTTCTTACACCACTCAATGGTGTGAAGGTTTCTGGCGGTCTGTCGAGAAGCGGCACATTGTTCAATTGCCCGTACTTACGGACAAAGGACTATTTGATGACACTCAAGTTGTCAGTAGACAACGCCGCATAGATTGGATCAGTCAATTATCGACAAGACAAGAATGACCCGAACGAGGTCAAACTTTGTGGATAAGAGGACAAGATCTCTTGATCATGCCATGGAACATCAAGCTGTACCCTGGTTTTCACCACCAGATGCTATCACTCATGAGGTAATTACCTCAGTTATGGATGAATTGGTATCTGAATTCGACATCAAAGATTTGAGCCCAGCCCCTTTCACACAAGTGAAATATAGAAAGTCTGCTTTCTCTGGACTTCCATATCTTCGTCCACGTGGTGATCTCGGTGTTTACCAAGATGCTGAAGGAAAAGCAAAAGAGCAGTTGAGAAGAGCACATCAAAGAAGCTTTTCTCCTATGTCAGGCCAAGCTTATGTTGGACTGTCACGTACTCAACTCGCTGACATCAAAGATCCTAAGATCAGGTTGGTATGGGCGGTCGCCTTTCCAAGTTTGCTTTTACAGTTGTCTTTATGGCAGCCTTTGTACCTACATTGGCTTCAAACGAAGTCATCCAGAATGCACAAGGTACTGAATACATCTGTATTCGGAATGACATTAGACGAAGCGGCATCTGTCACATCCAGGTTCCAGGAAGTTGCAACCAATGAATCTCAGAGCGAAGACTTCAGTTTATTAATTACTGACTGGCCCGCATTTGACACTGGGAAGATTTGCAAAGTGCTAGAATCCGTAGATACGGATGTCTACTGTCATGGCGTTCAGCCTTGGGAGTTGCTCTTTGCGCTTACAACATTGGCATGTGGCTACATGAGGCACGCAACTACTGACAAATCAAAGAGTTTGGGGACACTTTTTGCTGTTGTTATGGTACTTGCCTCTTTAGATTCTTGCTGGACTCTGACTATTATGTTACAGGTCTGGTTGCTTCTGGAGATGGAGGTACTTACGCACTCGACTCTATTGTATGGAGGCCAGGGTGCGAACTTGCAGGAGTGGTCTGCCCGTTCTACGGCACTCAAGGCTATCACCAGTGATGTTGTCAGCTTCTTGCAGTCCAAGATTCCTGACTCCTCCAACCAGAAGCTGCTCACCGAAATTGAGCGGTTGAAGCAAGAGAATGCCAAGTTGCGTGCAGGGACCCCAGACCAGGAACCGTCAGCGTCTCAGATCCACCTCCAGCAGCTCAAAAATGCTGGTCGCAACGCGGTGCTGGAAGACAAGCCCGTCACGTCCAGAAGAAGGATCTGGATGTTCGGGTTGCCGTGCTCCAGAAGGAGTTGGAGGGCTTAGATGCTGGCAACAGGCCCCCTTTGGATAAGTGGTGCATTCAATGGGGCTTGGATGTTAGCTTAGCCCAGAAGGCCTCTGAGGAGCAGCTGCTTCGCTTGTTGGCGCTGTCTCATGACATGGCACACTGACTAGGGAATTCAGATTGGAAGAGTCGGACTCGTACTGCTGAGCAGTTTGCCCACAAGTTTTGGCGTTGGTCCCATTTATTTTTGCAACGACGTGGTTTTGTGGGAACGGATCCGATCATTGCCCGCTTGTTGTGGGTTAGAGCCCTTTTGTTTGTACGAATGTGTTACCACGCACGATGTCGACGATCCCCCTGGACAAAATGGGAAGCCGTGCTTCGCAGACTGCAGGTGCCCCATGATCTGCCCTGGAAGCATTTTATTTCTGAGGTTTGTGTGTACCTTCGGGTTTCTCCGTTCCGAAAGGTATTTTATGTTGGAAGCACTTCTGTTGGAGTTCTCCAGCGAGAATCCACTCGGGCACGGAAACACCTCCAATTCACTCGGCAGCGTCTGGCCTATTCTGAACCTGCTATACGATGGTGGGCTGGGGCCCATAGCTTGTGGGAGTTCATTCGCGTCCCCGTTCAACCCTGCACACAGACCGCTGGTCCTGTCTTGGTTTCGTCTTGTTTTGTTGTGTGCCGGTTTTGTCTCGCTTTGTTCCTTGTGTTTGCTTTGCTTGTTTCGTCCGCATTGCTTGCCTTACCCTGCTTGTGCACTAAGGAACCTCCACTAAGGATCTTGCGGCCCCTGCGCACTGCGCCCTGCCACGGTTTCGTTCTGCTCCTGCAGCCTTGTTTTTCTTTTTTATTTTTCTTTTTCTTTCCCGTCTTGCCCGCAGCAAGGGGAGCTGAGAGGCAAACTTGAGGGTTGCTGCTGGGCACCTTTGTGACTCTACGCAGGTCGGAGTTGATGTTCCTTTGGCCCCGGAAACGGGGCGTGTGTGCGTACCCACTGTTTGTAAGTGCCACCTTCCTGGTGCGGTTTTCCAGAACCTGGAGATGGACAGGTTTGTCAGCCTTTTCGAAGCACGGATTTGCGGGCTCTGGTCGTTCACAGATGGCCAATTTTCCTGCGGCCAACCGAGAGTGGTGAGCGCAGTTCTCCGCTTGCCCAGTGATGTTTTACTCTTTGCAGGGGGCACGGCAGCTCATTCTCTAGCCGTGCCAATGAAGCTGTGAGAATGAGCCGGAAGGGAGTTTGGACGCAAACTCCTGTACCTGCATTGTGAATTCTTCGTTTTTCGTTCTTGGCAAGCCGTCTGCTGCCCCAGTACAGCAAGTAGTGTTGACGGTGTTGTTTTCTGCAGAGCATTCACGACCATCCGGCTTTTCCGAACACTGTAATCTCGGCTCTCGGAACCCTAAAATGTTCAGCTGCCTTGCGGACCCCGATTATCTCGCGACTTCGGTGGCATCAGTGACACTTTTTTCCTGTCTCCCCGACGCAGGACAGATCTGCAACACTCAGGACTTTGAAGATTAACTTCTACTTCATCCTCTTACGGGACAGGAGTACTGTTCTCCAAACGATCCTTCAGTGTGTGTGTGTGTGTGTGCGTGCGCGTGCGCGTGTGGGTGTGGGTATGAGTGTGCGTGTGCGTGTGCGTGTGCGTTTGTGTGTGTGGGTGCGTGTGCGTGTCTGTGTCTGTGTCTGTGTCTCTGTGTCTCTGTGTGTCTGTGTGTGTGTGTCTGTGTCTGTGTCTGTGTGTGTGTGCGTGATTGTGTTTGTGTTTGTGTTTGTGATTGTGTTTGTTTGTTTGCTTGCTTGTGTGTTGTCTTGCTTGCATTTTGCTTGCTTCTTAGTTGCTTGTTTGTTTGTTTGTTTGTGTGTTTCTTTGTGTGTTTGTTTGTGTTTTGTTTGCTTGTTTTGTTGCTTGTTTGTTTGTTTGTTTGCTCGCTTTTTGTTTGTTTGTGTTTGTGTGTGTGTTTATGTGTGTTTGTTTGTGAGGCGGTACCCCTTTCGCCTTGGTTTAAAAGGACAGACAAGCTGAAAACCACCAACTTGACACATTTGTAGTCTATTGCCATGTTGTAGTTCGGGACCTGGGGGGCTTACCGATATATACACTGTACGTGATGGCTGTGTCGTTGTGCTGTTTTGCATCTCAGCAGGCCCCCATGGTTTTTTCATGTTACGTTACGTTCATGCGAGTTTCGACTTCGAAGACAGATATACACGACTGAAGCAAAACTGCAGTTGTACTAGTGCATTGCAAGTCAGAATATCTTGACCGTCTCCAGTTTCTGGATCGGTCCATCCAGTTGCATTTAGCTTAGGCCTGTACATAACTTTCATGTTGTTGACCTACCAAGTTTTATAAGAACTATGACTTTGAATTTCAGTGGAATACCCTCAAGAAAATTGGTGGGCGTAAATCTCTGTGCAAGACATACGTCAAAAAGAATGCCATGATGTTGGGCAGGTTGACAGGTTGTGACGGAGGAACGCATGCTGGAGGTAGGAGTATCCCTCCGAATCAACCACACCCCAGGCCCTATTCCGCGTGGCTATCTGTTGAACTCCCTCAATCAAATGTCGACCCTCCTCATATGAGCAACACAACAGACCAAATTGCAGGCAGTCTTGTTAGCTCGGGGAATTTCAGGGAGGACACGGGGGCCAACCCATTTTTTTTACAGAAAAACAGGGCGGCCACCCAATTGTCCCATCTCATCTTGGGGAAACAAATGGGTATGGGTCAAAATTTTATCACCAGGGGACCGCAGGTTTTGGTCCATGCTTCCACTTACTAGGATTCCATTTGGGGGTACCTATTCTTGACCCACAGCCAAATGAGCAATTTTTTGTCCGGGGCTCATAGTAAGTGGGGGATTTCTAAAGCCCCACCGTTCGGCTTTCGGCTTTCGGCTTTCGGCCTTCGCAGGGCGCGCGAGAGCCTCGCAAAGTGCTGCCCAGCGCGTTCACTTCCTCTTTGCTCGAGTGATAGATGGGTGTCCTTTTCGGTTAGTTCGACGGGTTTCAGCTTGGTATGATGGCCTTTTCCCCAAAAGGACGAGATGGACGTTCTTACAACCCCGCTTCGGCCCCCGTTTTCCGCCTTTGACTTGACCACACATGGTATGGCTTTGAGCTTGAATGGGGAGGGAGCGCCCTCCAAAAATAGTTGGTGGACATAAACTTCTTCAACGATGCCCAAAGATCCAGCCCAGATCAAAAGAGTTCAATGGAGGTCCAGGCGGATGGTACGAGTAGGATATCTGAAGGACTCTGCGAATGTCCGGTGACATCGGTGGTATGGCCTCTGAGAAGCTTCCCAAGCCCGGAGTTGATTGATCCGATGTTCCTTACAGGGTTGTATCAAGGGTTCGAGGATTCAAGGGAATCTTCCCCTATGGGATATATTGGGGCTAGTCATTGGGGGTTGTCCGTTTTGTTGTATCACAGTGGCTTCCATTTCCCACAGCCCGGCTGAAAAATTGGTCCCTCAGGGTCATATTCGATCAGCTTAGCAATCCAAAGATGCTTCAGCAGAACTCTAGCCCAACTCGTGGGAAATGAAATAGGGCCACGCCATACCAAGTTGTACTCCCCGTGCCCTGGCGATTAGCGAGTCGGTTAAAGCGGCCGAAGACCGGCCTGCGAGTTGAAATTTCCGATCTGACTGTCCAAGACAGCTGCTCGGTCAGCGGTTACTCGCCTGCAAATCAACCAGGAACCCAAGGGCGGCGCTTTTCATAGAAAATTCATCTCTACAATGTTTCAATCTTTCCGGGGTTCCTGTCGTTGGTCTGAGCGGTTAGTGGGCGACGGCAGCGAGAAGTTCTGACTCCGGGCGGCGTGGAGCTTTGTATGCCACCAATGTAAATGGGAGCATTCGATTTGGTCGGCAGTTAAGTTTGACACCATCTTCTTTGAGGTTTGCTAAAATGATGGCAGAAAGTCGGTGGTGATGTAACTATGCCAGGGGAAAACATTGCTTGAGTCGTAACCAAGAGCCTCCCAGGTGAAAGGCTTGAATATATCACCTCAGATCCATCCGCCACGTCACGTCTCGCCTCGTTGCAGCCGTTCTCATTTGCGAGGTCAAAAGTTTCGGTCGGTTCGCTGGGCCAGACCTGAAGGGAGGCAACAAGGAACACCGTTTTGCAGGGTCCCCGAACAGACACAATCCTTCTCCTGTATAGTCGCAAAGCAACAGAACCGCCCTAAAACGAAAAGGACATGGCATGACATGGCTAATTTTGCATAGACCGCTGGTCAAGGAATATAATTGGGGAAGGGTAAACCGAAACTGCCAAGCAGCCCCAAGGTTGAGTATCCTTGTTAGAGAGTTTAAGTGAGATTACGTGAGTCTCAGACAACGAATGCCGGTGCGCCTGTGGCGTTTGAAAAATGAAACCTCACTTGCCCAACGCCGACCTTTTGACCTTTTGGTTTCCCTGAGTTGGTCCATAGTGAAGGCTGAAAGGTTACCCGTTGTATTTCCAGGTTCTTTGGGCCACTGAGAAGGATGTTGAGAGGCAAGTTGGTTGAAGCTAAACCCTTGGCAAATCGGCGCTTGGGCGTCCAGTCTGTAAGTCTACGCGTAAAAAAATGTCATGTCCCACTGAAGGCTCGAACCTTAACTTGTCCGCAGCAAATGTCACCAACTTCAGCGGAGCCTTCTTTTCCCGAGTGACTTGAGCCAGTTGGGTTTGGACCGCGGCAAAGAGGGAGTTGGGGCACTTGGCCGATCCTTTCCTTCGGAAGTGCGCGGCAAAACGAGTTGGTAAGCAACCCATGGGCTGCCCTGATAGAAAGGACGAAGACCTGCGTAAAAAAAGAAGAAGAAAACAGAACAAAAGCCAGTTGAGTGGTTCGGTCAACAAATGGAGTTCCCAAATTTGAAACCCCAAAATGGAAACAGGGACGCAAACCTGCGGTCCATCTCCTTGAATTTTGACCCATACCCAAGTGGTCAGCTTCTTCGGACGCTTCAGCTTACGAATTGGTGGCTTGGAGGCTTGGAGGGCGGGTGTCCCAGTTCCCAGTTGCCCAGTGGCGCCCTTTTTTGTTCTTCCTTTTTTTGGGAAGGGTTCCCCTTTCAACTCAACCAGCCCAAAAAATCGCATGCCGATTCGTTTTCCCCGTGGCCACTGGGCAGCCGAGATTTCCCCTGAAGATCCATCCGATCGGAGGAGAAGTCGAAGCGGTGGTATGAGTTCCTCACATCCCTGATGGCGATCCTGGGCGGGACACCGACGGGAAGAGTTCTGCTTCCCCCCCCCCGCCCAAAACACGGCGTCATGTAGGGAGCCCGGAAAAACAAGCCACGTGATTTAGGTCTGGCCGTGAATTTGCGTGTTTTTTCCGGAAGCCGGGCTTCCCATGGGTTTGAAAGGGAAGATTTGGAGGTGTCCAGCTTTCTCTCCTCCGAGCCAAAGGGGGCGCAACAGCCAGCACATAGGACAAACATCCCCTTGGTAGAACGTTTGTCGCTCTGGGGCTTGACCCATGCAACTGGTCAGAGCCATATTCCTTTGGGCCCTTTAAAAGGTTGCTGGCATGGCCAGCCCAGTCAGAGAGGATTTGTCCTGTGTTGACAGGTAAATCCTGAGTGGGGCAAGTTTGCAGAGCAGTTCAGAGCCACAGCCGCCCTTTGTTTTGGTAGAAAATATGATGGCTCTGCTTGACCTGATTCCAGAATCTACCAGGCCCTGCTAAGTTCCCAAAAGGACAAGCTATGTTCAGAGCACTTCAGAAGGGACCCAAACAGGGTGTTGATGCCCTTTGTTTCGTTGGGCTACCGCTTTTTCCTGCGTAGAAAAGCCCACCTCGTGTCTCGTTGGCGAAGCCCAACGTGGCGGACGAGCGAGATCGGGTTGATGTCATCTCAGGGGACGAACTAAGATAGGGTTCTTCATCACAGGGGACTGCTAAGATAGGGTGCTGACCAAATATGAGGGGTACTAAACAGGGACCATGCCAATTATAGGTCTTACAAAGAGAGGGTTAGTCACTGACATCCCCATTGTCCATGCTTGAAGTATCACTGACATCTTGTTTTCGTGTTTTTCCTTCCAACCAATGGAACTTCAAATTGTGCATGTTACTAAAGCACCTTTTGATGAAGGGCCCATACGTCAGGGCTGCTTTTCCAGTTTTTTTTTTTTTGGGGGGGGGGTTGTTTCAGGCACAACAATATATAGACATCACTATATGTCACTAAAATTATAGGAGGTTTAGGGCTAACTATATATCCCTGTATCCCTACTGTGGATGGACGAAATCCTGCACCAATGAAACCATGGGAAACCATTGTTTGTCGGTATTTACAGGGGAATCATCATTATTGGGTTTCTTGGGTGGTGCGAAATGGATTTCTCAACCATCCACAGTACGTATCTTATAAGATGCAGGGGTTCCACTTTTTGACTACGCAATAGGCTTAAACCCAGAAATGGTTCATTCCCCCAATAGGCTTGAACCCCTGGGTTTGAGCCTGGGGTAGTTGAAAAGTGGAACCCGGATAAGATGTGTTTCGGGATTCCCCCGAAACTCAGTCAGGACCTTCACCGTGGTGGAGCTCACCAGTGGTGCGGTGGAGACGGCCCGGAAACCAAAGGAAATCGGCCCAAAGCGGTGAGACACCACTGATATAACATACATCATGTTTGATTGAATGTTTATATATATATATATATATGTTTATAGATATATATATACATATATGTATATTATATATATACATATACATATATGTATATTATATATATATATTATGTACTGGTGAGTTTTTTGAGTGTAGCCTGTGTTTGGGTGTTTTTTTTGTTTTTGTTTTTGTTTTTTTCCTCGGGGGTACTCTTTCTTGTGCGGATGTTTAAAGGGACACCAAGTGGTCTTGATATTGTTTTCACTTGAGCTCGCCGACATGATTACTTTGTTTAGGGTGGGGGTGTTTTGCTTCAGGTTTATGAATCATAGTGGTCATTTGCCCAGGTATATCATTTACCATCATCGACTGTACAGAGAATTACGCAAGGCACGCGCTCATATGAAGCTTTGTCAAAATGTGCTGAAGTGTATGGCCCAGGTATATAAGTCTTCAGCAAAACCAGGCGACTCACACTTATTGTTCCACATCCAGTAGGGTGACTGTGAATGTTGACCGTGGCTCATATGGATCTGTCTTAGAATCGGGCACCCCTGTGCAAAACGATGTGGTTTTCCCTGTGGGTTCCCATTTGAAGCCAACTCAAAATTCCTCAAACATGAACGCGGGTGTCCCTGCAGATTGAACCGGGTGGCACCCCAAAATGACGATCGCCCCAGTTTTGTTCGAAGGGACCTCCACAGGAAGTACCTTTAATCAAAAACGGGGCAAGGAGACAACGATGTCTCATCTTGCTTGTGATGGATCTTTAGACTTCAACTTTTGGGAAATCCATGAAATTTGCCGAAATGAACCCACGAACAGCTGCGAAGCTAGACAACTTGGCAGGTGGGCACGGCCGTCAAGGATGCCCTGGGCAAGAAGAACTGAGCTGGACGCCTTCGCGGCTCCGCTCCGAGCGCCCGCTCGCTAATGCCGGGCCCAAGTTTGGGCAGGGTGACAGATGGCGCAGCTCCAACTTGGGATCCCCCCGTGCGATTTTCAGCTGTTGGGCCCATTTCAGGTGAGTTCTCCTTGGTGTTTAAAAGGACTTCTAGGGAAGCCGGTTGTTTGGGTGAGAATGAAGAACGGGGGAGTTGCGCTATCTACCTTCACCCAACTGTAACATGCTGCTATGCTCATCATGTTGTTGTCAAGTAGCCGCATTAACTTAACGACTACGTCTGAATGTTAGAGCTTGATGACTAGGTAAGGTCAAAGATACCAAGTGACGTCCGGTTTATGAAATCTATTCTCCGCACCGATTCCGACTAAGGGACGTCTCAGAGGCGTCTGGGAGCTTGCATGTGGGACCAGGGCCTTGTGGGAAAATGAGTGGGTCAGTCATCCAAATGCCCTCTGAGGATGAATTTGGGCCCATGAGTCAAAGTACCTCCTTCCAAGGACGAAGGGAC